CTTTCTTGTGGTTCTTGTGGTAGAATATACGTTCGCTAATGCACTGTTTGTTGTTGTTGAGCAAATTGTTTGTATATGTGATTCTTGTATTCTTGAGTGTGTTTCTATTCCTATTATTGTCATTCTTTTTTCTCTTCCTGTTACTTTTCCTGCTGCCATTCCACCTACCTGTTGTTGTTTAATTGTCGTTTTTGTTGTTCCAACTAAGACAAGACTCCTTGGGTTAACCAGTCAACCTTCTGGGGATTGTCTGTTACATACAGCGTTACGGTTAAAACAAGTTACCACACAAAAACTACTACGACTACTACTACTAATACTAATAATAATAATAATAATACGTCTACTACTGCTACTAATAATACTACTACTGCTACTACTACTACTATTACTACTAATACTACTACTACTAATACTAATGCTACTACTATTATAATAATAATTATTATTTATATTAAATCTTTTCCTTATTTTTCTTATCCTACTACTACTCTTACCAAGACAAGACTCCTTGTGTTAACCAGTTATGGATTGTCTTAACATACAACATTACGGTAAACATGTATATACGCAGTTTAAAGTCAAGGTTAATGGTTACAGGTTAAAGTCGAGAGAATCGACTTCAATAAAAGCAGGAGACAGAGGGACATTCTGAAGTGCAGGGCAGACAAAAACGCACTCAGAAAACGGTTCAAAACCGCTACAGGCAGCGAACGGGAGGTGCTGCATGAAGTCTGGTTGCACCTGAGAGCCAGACACAGTGCCCTCTGTCGCGCTGAGCGTTTCTGTAACAACAGACAGAGAACCAAAAGGGAGCGAGAGAAATTCTTTAGGGACCCGTTCAAGTTTGCCGAGGTCTATTTGAGCAACCGAAGTCTGGGACTCTGGTGGTCGGTAAAGAGGAGCTTAAGTCACATCTACGCAAAATGTACTCAGATAGGAAAAGGAATGAGCCTCTCGATGACAACCCAGAGATCCTTAGCGGCCTGAGTTGCCGAAGGTACCATTTAAGGTGATACCTCCCTCTTGGTCTGAAATCGAAGAAGTTGTAAAAAGAGCTAGCGGCCAAGTCCGCCCCACGGCCAAATGGTGCTTCGTACGTCGTGTACAAGCGTTGTCCGAAAATTCTCCTAATGCTTTACCGCTTGCTGAGATTAGCGTGGAGCTGAAATCACATATGTTCCGAATGGCAACGGGCCAACAGGGTCTACATTTCCAAGGAGCAAGACTCCACAAGCCTATCCCAATTCAGGCCTATTTCATTGTTGAATGTTGAGGGCAAAATATTCTTCTCGATCATGGCTCGCCGGCTCACACAGTATCTGATGGCGAACAAATACATCGATACGAGTGTTCAGAAGGGTGGAATCCCGGGCGGCCCTGGGTGCCTTGAACACGCGACCATGATCTGGGAGGCTATTCAGAGAGCAAAGCATGAGTGATCAGTTGCACATGATATGGTTGGACCTCACCAACGCCTATAGGGCAGTTCCCCATAAGCTACTGTGACGAGCCCTTCGCATGTTCCAGGTACCGACACAGATCCACGAAATGATCGAGCAATATTTCGCTAAGTTCTTTGCGCTTCTCTACCCAGACGTTTACTAAGAGATGGACTGAGCTCTAGGTTGAGATAGCTATGGGATGTAGGATCTCGGCAATACTGTTCGTTATGGCTATGCAGGTCATGTTAGACGGGGCGGCCGGCTACGGACAGGGCCTTAAGGTTGGGGACCACTGGATGCCGCCGCTACGTGCATTTATGGATGACACGACTATAATCACTGGCAGTGAGGATTCTGCCGGCACGATTCTGAAAAGATTGGACGAGGTGGTCCAATGGAGCGGTATGCAATTCAAACCGCAGAAGTCGAGGAGCTGTCAATCCTAAAAGGTAAGGTGGCGGCGATCAGTTTGACGGTGTCAAGGAATCGGATTCCCACGGTTCTGGAGAAACCGGTGAAGAGGCTTGGTCGCGTTTACGATTGGAAGTTATCTGAGATAGCGGAGGTCCGGCGAATACACATAAATAGGAACAAAAATGTTTTTAAAAAGAGAGAGGTTTGAACACTGTACCACTGACCGGATGATAAGACCCTAGTCACCATGCCACAATAGTTCTTTGAATTAATGTAATTCAAAACACAAAATCAAATCAACGTTTATGTGCTCTTTCATTTTCTTTTTGTTGCTGCGTGGACTAGAGGCATGGTGTCCGCTTCGAGTGCTAGAGGTTCCGGGTTCAATCCGCAATAAGGGCTGGGCTATTTTCACGTGAGCTTAGACTTGTAGTAATTCCCCCTGGTCTCTGGGTAGTGTGATCAGCCGCCCGTGTGCATTGTTGGGCATGTAAAAAATCCTTTAGCAGTTGAAAATTGAAAAGAGTAGCCTAACTTCCTGCCCGGGCAAAATTTAGAGTTAAAAATCTACCCAAAGTATTCTCGCCCGTGCTACAGATCCTGTGAACTGTGCTGAGCTTTTTCAGACTCAGACTTGAGTTAGAAGAAGAACAGAGCACTTGTGGGTTACTACCCGTGTGCCATGATTGTCACGTGCCATATTCCTTGATACACCACACACTTTTCAAGTTTCTAAGTATCCCAATAGTGTTACAGTTACAAGTCACCAGTCCCGCCCACCAGCAATAGAGGACGCCGGATAGATGTTGACCGACAAAGTAGATTCAATGTATTTCAACCATGGCCAGCTACAGATTTATAAGGCCATACAGCTCGAACGGGAATTCCCGTTCTTGTGCAAGAATTGAGTCCCTCTGCGTCCACAGTTTTCATCGAGGAGATGTATACGAAAAAATTAAACTACAGTTTCATAAATCTTCGACATATTTTTTTAGAACTATACGTCATTTTTAAGGTAAATATGTGTGCCGAATAAATATAACAATAAAGGCTCTTACAAACAAACAAGAATGCTTTTGCTACAGTCAACATGAACATAAACATCAATAACGTTTAGATGTAAACTAAAAGTTGTTCCAGCAAAAGTAAAGAAATATCAGTGCTAACTCTTTGATTCTGCATCAGAGGAGCGGGGTGGGGGGGGGGGAGGGGAGGGAAAGGTGACATTTGTACTTTATCAAATTTAGCGCATACAAATACTGCTATGGAACATACACATATCATACGTAACATAAATATAAATAATTGATGGTTATTATTATTATTAGTAGACTTCTACAACATATAATTATACTGTTATTTAATAATTAGTAAACAAGCACAATCAGTATGAAATTGATATGTGCAATACTATTTTCACCCAGAGTAGTTTTCTTAACAGTACTTATAGCACTACTAAATATGTACCCTCAAGGTACAAACAGCACAAACAAATTTGTCCTGTTTCATCTTGTTGGATGAAATGAATTCCTTACCATTGCGAATTTTTTGGTAACAAATATGCATAGGAAGTGGATGAACAACCAGAAGTTTCCGCAAGAGTTTACAGCCAGTGTTCGCGAAGCAAAGCAAAAGCCAGTTTACAAAAATTAACACAGACCGTACAACTGCAAATATGCAAAAGAAGTCGATAAGCAACCACAAGTTTCCGCAAGAGATTACAGCCAGTGTTCGTGAAGCAAAGCAAAAGCCAGTTTACAAAAATTAACACAGGCCGTAGAACTGCAAATATGCAAAAGAAGTGGATGAACTACCAAAAGTTTCCACAAGAGTTTACAGCCAGTGTTCGCGAAGCAAAAGCCAGTTTACAAAAATTAACACAGACCGTAGAACTGCAAATATGCAAAAAAAGTGGATAAACTACCAGAAGTTTCCGCAAGAGTTTACAGCCAGTGTTCACGAAGCATAAGTCAAATGGTTAAGGATTATTATTATTAGTGTACTGCAACAACATATAAGTATACTGTTAGTCAACAATTAGTAAAAAGGCAAAGAGTAACTTGCTGTGAGAGGTTAGTTAGTAAATTAAATATTATTTTCACCCACTTACCTAGAGCTACAAAATATCTTGACACAATTTATCCACAGTGTGGTTGCGCCATTTATGCACAGTCAATATGAAAGCAATAGTTTTCTTCAAACACAAGATAGTTTGCACCTGACAACTGTCGAAATTCTCCAGATGTGGCTTCTAAATTACCTGTTTGTATTATCCCTAAAAGAAAGATTTCTACATTTAAAGTAGAAAAGTAATAAACAGCCAGTTCCTAAAAATCCGAACTACTGACTAGAAACAGTGACACTGACACACACATCACAACACGACTGTCTTCCGTGAATTAAAATTAAAATTAAAATCGCTGTATATTCACTTCACAATATCCATTTGCAGATTTGTAATACGAATAGGTTTAGAACACAGGACTTTGTAAGCATATTAATATGTCACACAATGCAACATGGAAACGCTCCCAGTAACCTATTTTCGAGGGCTCCTCCAAAATGTACCGTGATTCAGTTGTCAGGACTGAATTTACAGCCGGACGTGATTTCAACATCAGGACAATTAACGGCATCACGAGATATGAATTTCTATACTGCCAAAGCCATTCTCACAACCAAGGCAACACACACTCAGGACCCTCTGGGCTGCCACCCTATGTTGCGTGGTTGCTACGGGTAAACACTACCCGCTCGCGCAAATCCACTGCTCCTGATTACGTGACTGTCTTTGTGTCACCTATTACTTGGATACACTGTCACTAGAGAGATCATACAAGCCGATGCCCAAAACCTTGTGAAGATATCCAGAGTCAATGGTCTCTCTCTTTCTCTCTCTCTCTCTCTCTCTCTCTCTCTCTCTCTCTCTCTCTCTCTCTCTCTCTCTCTCTCTCTCTCTCTTTTTTTTTTTTTTTTTACATCCAGTTCAATTCCGTACTGCACCGCACCAATTTTTACATTCATTACTGCACTTCCCTTTTCATATACCCATATACTGCACACAACAATGATGTTGATCCGTTGTTCAAACCTCAAACCTCAAACCTCAAACCTCTAACTTCTTGTACCTTTCAGCTCGACATGCTCCTGCTGACCGTCTCCCTTGTCTTCGGTTTCTGGGCATCCTCAGAATGTGCCTCTCTCAGATTCCCTCAGAAAGGTTGCAAATTTGAAGAAAGGCTGTTTCCTAAAGGATCAAGGTTTGAACCCACGCCATGCATGACGTGCCACTGCCCTCAGGACGGCGGCATAGCTAACTGTGTTGTTCAGGACTGCATGCCAGACCAGCATTGTATCACTTTTGACAACTCGACCACTGAGTGCTGCCCTACATGCTTGAAGTTCGGGTGTCGACATTCTGGTTCGTATGGTTGGGTTTTTATTTATTTTAAATATCTATAGTCACCTCAGATAGAAAAATGGATAGAGAAATCCACATACGATGTGCGAACGCAAATAAAATTATGGGACGATTAACACAGCTTCTGACCCATAGAAAGATGCCCCTGTCAACCAAAGCAAATCTCGTAAGAATGGTTTTTTTTTTTTTTGGGGGGGGGGGGGGGGGGGGGGGCCGACATTGTGCTATCAGTGCCAAACATGGGCGCTTACTACAAATAATGAGAGGAAGATCTTTAGAACAAAAATGAGATGTCTTAGGAGAGCTGCCGGTGTGACAAGGAGAGATCAAATCAGGAATGAAGAAATTAGAAGAAGACTAGGAATGAAATCAGTCATAACATTCATTAAAATAACAAAAAGGGAGATGGTTTGGCCACCTGACGAGAATGCCCTAGTACAAACTGTTACAGAGCCACACACAAACAATATAATGAACACAGAGCAGGGGAAGACCACGCAAGATATGGAGCGACATCATCAGGAGCAGCCTAACAGAAATTGACATTATCTTGTACAATGCATTGGAAAAAGCGCACACACGATCCTTACACCCCCCTCCCCTACCCTCAACAACTCGCTGAGGTAAATGGTGGAAGAGAAAAAGAAGAAGAAGGATGATTGGGATTATATATTTGAGGAGCCCTCTTATAAGGCAGTGGTCGTTTCTATTTCAGATGTGAGTGAACTGCCGTTGAACAATAGTCAGTATTACAGAAGCAGGCAGATAGGCTGGCTGGTTCTGCACCACTTGGTATTGAATTGACCTATGACAAGCTTGATGTTGTGAGGGCCCCTTTGGGAGCGAGTGAACTGTGCGGAGGCACGAATAGATCATTACGGTCTGAGGAGAATGGTACTCAGAGGAGTCACCAGGGTATATGACCGACGCTCAAGACTCACGGTAAAGGCGAGACGGATACATAATCAGTCAGTTACTGGTACCATGGGAACTGGAACTCTTTGCTTGCTGCTGAAGATGGGGACGGAATAATTATGGGAGTGTCCAGAGTCTACGATGTTGATTCTCAATTCGACATTCAAAATGCTATGACTGTTGTTCTACAATCTTTGTTACTGTCTTCCTACCCTATAGTTTTCGTTGCTAATATATTGTGTTTCGCTTAACAGATGGAAGGATCTTCAATCAAGGGGAAGTAATCAAGAATGAACCCTGCGTCCGTTGCTTCTGTCCCTTTGGTGGAGGTATACCCGTCTGTGACGTTACCTCCTGTCCGTTGTCGCAGTGTGTGGACCCGGTTTCAGTTTCTGGCGTTTGTTGTCCCATTTGTCCCAACGGTAAGTTGTTGTTGTTGTTGTTGTTGTTGTTATTGATCCAGCGGCGCGTGAGCTTTCTTGACCCACTGCCAAGTAGTGGAATTTACATGTTTTCACAAGCTGTTCTTTTCTTCTGTACAAGGTGTTCCTCCTGTCTGGTCTCAGAGGGAGTAGCATTCTTCTAGTCTCGTTGAGTTTTGGGCACTCAAAGAGATGATGGTCAACAGTTTTGTAGGGGTAGTTACATAGCTGGCACTATGGGGAGTGTTGTGGCTGTATTCTGTTTAGGTGTCCATTGAGTGAAGTATGTTGCGTTCTGAGTGTGAAGATGGTGGCCTGGTCCCTTCTTGTTAAATGGTTAACGCTGTCATTAGGATCAGGACCAGCCCAACGGTAAGTAAAAGCTTTGTCTTTTGGTACTTTACTAATCTCTTAAGGGAGACCCGGGTTCAAATCCTCGGTAAAGCTTGAGATTTGTTCTGTCGGGAGCAAAATAAAATCCCCACCTGCGATAGCACTAGCCATGTGGCCTTAAATCCCCAAGGCTCAAAACCCACCCCCCCCCCCCCCCCCGAGCCTACACCGCAAAAGTGGTATAATAAAGGCAGCAATTGGCAGTTTGTTGGCTCTGTGACTAAGTCGATGCCAACGCTTCGTAATGCCGGGGTGCCGGGTTCGATCCCAGCTGCGGCCCATGCTCCTTGCGTTGTTTTCAACAGTGGTACTAGGGAGCCACCGTCCAGAGGCAATGGCAAACTACTGGACGTAAATTTGCCTAGAGAAACCACACAACAACCAGTGGCTGCTGGGGGTTGGTTCTACAAATTCATGTAAAGGATATGCAACTAACCTTAAATTAGCAGTTTGACTAATCTCTTCAAGATATAGACACAGAATATGTATTGACTGATCTCTTCAAGATATAGACACAGAATATGTATTGACTGATCTCTTCAAGATATAGACACAGAATATGTATTGACTGATCTCTTCAAGATATAGACACAGAATATGTATTGACTGATCTCTTCAAGATATAGACACAGAATATGTATTGACTGATCTCTTCAAGATATAGACACATAATATGTATTGACTGATCTCTTCAAGATATAGACACATAATATGTATTGACTGATCTCTTCAAGATATAGACACAGAATATGTATTGACTGATCTCTTCACGATATAGACACAGAATATGTATTGACTGATCTCTTCAAGATATAGACACAGAATATGTATTGACTGATCTCTTCAAGATATAGACACAGAATATGGTATTGACTGATCTCTTCAAGATATAGACACAGAATATGTATTGACTGATCTCTTCAAGATATAGACACAGAATATGTATTGACTGATCTCTTCAAGATATAGACACAGAATATGTATTGACTGATCTCTTCAAGATATAGACACAGAATATGTATTGACTGATCTCTTCAAGATATAGACACAGAATATGTATTGATAATCTCTTCAAGATATTAGACAGAATATGTATTGACTAATCTCTTCAAGATATAGACACAGAATATGTATTGACTAATCTCTTCAAGATATAGACACAGAATATGTATTGACTAATCTCTTCAAGATATAGACACAGAATATGTATTGACTAATCTCTTCAAGATATAGACACAGAATATGTATTGACTAATCTCTTCAAGATATAGACACAGAATATGTATTGACTGATCTCTTCAAGATATAGAGACAGAATATGTATTGACTAATCTCTTCAAGATATAGACACAGAATATGTATCGACTAATCTCTTCAAGATATAGACACAGAATATGTATTGACTGATCTCTTCTTCAAGATGGATAGACACAGAAATGTATTGACTGATTCTCTTCAAGATATAGACACAGAATAATGACCGATCCCTCAAGATATAGACACAGAATATGTATCTCTTCAAGATATAGACACAGAATATGTATTGACTGATCTCTTCAAGATATAGACACAGAATATGTATTGACTGATCTCTTCAAGATATAGACACAGAATATGTATTGACTAATCTCTTCAAGATATAGACACAGAATATGTATTGACTAATCTCTTCAAGATATAGACACAGAATATGTATTGACTAATCTCTTCAAGATATAGACACAGAATATGTATTGACTGATCTCTTCAAGATATAGACACAGAATATGTATTGACTGATCTCTTCAAGATATATTGACTAATCTCTTCAAAGATATGACACAATATGTATTGACTGATCTCTTCAAGATATAGACTAATCTCTTCACGATATAGACACAATATGTATTGACTGATCTCTTCAAGATATAGACACACAATATGTATTGACTGATCTCTTCAAGATATAGACACACAATATGTATTGACTGATCTCTTCAAGATATAGACACAGAATATGTATTGACTGATCTCTTAAAGATATAGACACAGAATATGTATTGACTGATCTCTTCAAGATATAGACACAGAATATGTATTGACTGATCTCTTCAAGATATAGACACACAATATGTATTGACTAATCTCTTCAAGATATAGACACAGAATATGTATTGACTAATCTCTTCAAGATATAGACACAGAATATGTATTGACTGATCTCTTCAAGATATAGACACACAATATGTATTGACTGATCTCTTCAAGATATAGACACACAATATGTATTGACTGATCTCTTCAAGATATAGACACACAATATGTATTGACTGATCTCTTCAAGATATAGACACACAATATGTATTGACTGATCTCTTTAAGATATAGACACACAATATGTATTGACTGATCTCTTCAAGATATAGACACAGAATATGTATTGACTGATCTCTTCAAGATATAGACACACAATATGTATTGACTGATCTCTTCAAGATATAGACACAGAATATGTATTGACTGATCTCTTCAAGATATAGACACACAATATGTATTGACTGATCTCTTCAAGATATAGACACACAATATGTATTGACTGATCTCTTCAAGATATAGACACAGAATATGTATTGACTGATCTCTTCAAGATATAGACACAGAATATGTATTGACTGATCTCTTCAAGATATAGACACAGAATATATATATACACAAACGTATCTGTGCCTGTAGAGAATGGCGCTCAGCAGCGACACGTTTAGTCAGGCAGAATGTTATTTCGTAATTCTTTGAGAAAACGTTCCAAAATGGGAAGCAGTTTTTCGTTATTTTAAAGCCCCACTCCGGCTGTTGTCCGGGCCCTAATATAATCTAACGATTGACGGGATTTCTCATCCGAATGGTGGCACTTTGTGTCATCTGATGTTTATCGCTCAGGGATATGTCCTGGTGAGGTTAAAGGTCAATCAATCAATTTCTTTTCTCTGATCTATTGTGGGAAGCCATTTTGTGTGTGGTTATTGTGAAGCCCTAACCTGGCCGTCGACGGGCTTCCTTAATATAATCTTTTATTTGAACGGGGTTTTTGGGACTTGCACCCCGATGATTCTCAACATAAAAAACAAAAGCTATAGTTGCCGTGCCGGGAATCGAACCTGTCACCTCCAAATCGCGTGTGCGCCTCGCTATGGAAACAAGCGTACTAGGAACATATTCAAGTAGGCACCCCCCTTTCCCCCCCACCCCCCTCCTCCTTAACACAGAGCCACCTGGGCAAGAATTCTCATGAATCATTTGTTGAACTTCTGATTCTGCAGCACCAGCTGGCCAATGCCTGCACTCAGGCTCAACAGATATTAGAGCCCTACACAAATCTGATTCTTTCTCGTAAACATTGACCAACTCCTCTCCATGCTAAAATTGATCAAGCCTGCACACATGTATAATTATGTCTTCAGTTTACGCCACGCAAGACCTTCCTCTTTTCAGTCTGTGACCCATAGCTGTACCTACAGCTTCATGCCATGCAGGTAGTCCTGTTCTTCACAACCTGACCTTGTGGATACTTTGTACCTTTTCTCCAGGCTATGCCGGCGTAGTGGGTAATGAACAGGCAGGCAGATTGTCTAGATCTGCACCAATAAGTGGTGAATTGATACAAGACAAGGCATATGTGGTCACGGCCCTTTAGGAACAAGCAGCTTAATCTGTAGAGAAACAAGATTATCATGGTCTGGCGAAAAAGAGGCACCTGGGTGTAACCAGAGGGTCTGGCCGGCTTACTTCACTCAGAGAAAAGGCAAGACGGACATATAACCAGATTGTGACCGGTACCATTAGTATTGGAACTCTGCGCTGGCTGCTGAAGATGAGGACGGAGCATGCAAGGGAATGCCCCTAGTGCTGTGATGTCAATTCCTGACTCAACTCAACTCAACTTTCACAACCTGACACTGAAAAGCAGAACAGGACTTATGTTGAAGTGAAATGGCAGTCGACAACACTGCACATTATATTGAGTGCTCAGCCCTCGGAAAGGTGGCCACTCCATAGTGCTTGTATGTTCCTATGAGGAGTTGGTTATAATGTCTCCTATCTCGACCTCGAAGGCAGCATAGGCCTGTTCCACAATGCTTTATTCCCATGTCACGCAATCGCGTTAATATCAGTGATTCGTCGTTATTCACTAACCTTTTCCATACAGCATTGATGATATCTGCTCTGTGCATGCTTCATCCCATATGTTTGGGGGTGTGCTTGCCAGTTGGTCCGCTTGTTCGTTGCCTTTTACGCTAGCATGCAAGTGTAATAAGGGTTATAGAAGAGTAAGAATTAATCAATGTAGGTTAATTTATGCATGGTGCTATCAAGTTAATTTTGGCATTTAGTCAGAAGGAAGAAGTTTTAATAACCAGTACAAGTATTCAAAACTAATATTAGTGCCTATGTTTACCTCTTTTGAGTTGTAGGCAGGAAAAAAAGAGAGGGTGGGGTGTCTCTCAGTCTAAATTAGAGGCAAATGGCTGCTGCTGTAGCCACTGACTGTACAGGTTAGGATTTTGTTGTTGTTACCCCCTGACAAATCCACAGCGTTACCAAGGATCCGAACTTGGTCTACCGCTTGAGAGCCTATAGTTCTTAACCGTTCGACCAGTCGCTACCACACGTAAGAAGATCTGACACAAGAGTAGCAGGGCGCCCACAAAGCGTTAGACTGTAGAAACGAAAGACTATGTACATTCACACGAGGCAGCTACGGCACTGCAATTGTTAGTAGCTTCTCTGCCTGTCTGCCCAATGGTCCTGTGTTCGACTGGGGATCTTTTGGTTATAATTGTGACTTAGGGTATTTGCGCATTATAAAATGGCTTCACATTGCTCGCCACCAGGTAGCCCTGAAAAGGACTCTTGCAGTGTTGATGCGATCAAAGTAGACAGACCCAAATACTGTCCTGACAGGCGACGAAGTCGTCTACTGGCCAGCCAATGGGCGACCCGGTCGCTGATGGTTCGATTCCACATCGAATTAGAACCCACCTGACCTTGGCTCTATAGGAGGTATTATGGCCATGTTAACCGTCATAGCGACGATGTGTTAAAGGTAGGGGGGCTGTGAACACGAATAGACCCACTGCCTGCCAAAAAGCGTGTTGTAAGAGTCGACTAACTAGGGGCTTCATTTGAAGTCGGAGTACATCTGCCTGAGAGGCAAGGAACCAACAGTCTGCATGCAAATGAGTCAGACCTGAGAAACGGATGTTCACGCAATATTCAGTTTCTGGAACAGGACTAGAGTCCACAAGTGGCCGAACAACCAGAACTTTTCGCAGGAGTTTACAGCTGGTGAAAGCGAAGAAGAAGAAGAAGATAAAAACTACTGGTCTCCTTATATAAGCTTTCTGACACAAGGACAAATATAGAAGACTAACATTATTTCAGTTTTTTAATTTCGTCAATGATTACAGAAATAATAATATCCTTATGCTCCATTCCAGGTCCCAATTGCCAGATCGGTCTTCTGACGCTGCCTATTGGCCAATCTGTGATGGTAGAAGGAGCCTCGTGTGTCTGCGAGACTTTTGTGGATAAGGATGGGTTAGAGAGAACCCTGGCCAGGTGCAACAAGAATTAGTCTTGTTGCAGTTGACAACTCTGGTACCTATGTTTGTCATAGTGTACTTATATGGATATGTTCTATTATTTGTGAAAAGTCGACAATTTTGAGAAAGATATCAAAACAAAAACAAATTTAGGATGTGTACGTGCTGTGTATAGATGATATATACATACATACATAAAGATGTGTGTGTGTGTGTGTGTGTGTGTGTGTGTGTGTGTGTGTGGCAGGTGGATTTCGGTATGGTGAGTGTAGGGGTTGGGTAGGGAGGGGGTGGGGTGGGGTGTGGGTTGGGGTGAGTGTTGGTGTGGATGTGTGTGTGTAATGGTGCTAAATATAGGAATAAAATAAGGGATCTGATTTGTTACTAGGATTAGGGAAGTCCCCAGGTTGCAAGGCACGAGGTTAGCGTGGGGAAGGAAGAACACGAGATGTAGTGAGTTTGCTGAGGCAACACGAGAACACAGGGGTATGAATAACTGATCATTCTGTGACCGGACCCCAGATGGTTCGGATGTGACTGTATGATGTGACTGTACTATGTGACTGTAGGGTGTGACTGTGCGATGTGACTGTACGATGTGACTTTACGGTGTGACTGTACGATGTGACTGTACGATGTGACTGTACGATGGGACTGTACGATGTGACTGTACGATGTGACTGTATGATGTGACTGTGGTTATTCTACATTGAAGCATATCTGAGGACAGCTGCAGTGTCCGAGTAAGGGCTGCTCGTATCGACTGTCTGTAGGTCAGCGTCAAATAGAGCTTAGCTGTGTGCTCAAACCTTGCCTTGTCTAGATATCGTAAGTTAGATTGTCATATTGATTCTTGTTTATGCTAGAGATGGAATAAACCTCAAACTGGTCATCGTCGATTATCATTTGGAGTAGTGTGTTCGTTGTTGAAAGATGGTTACCCCCCCCCCCCCCCCCCCAACAAATGGGGGGGGGGGAGTTCTTTGAGGGTACGCTGTAAGTACAGTCGCCACTTGTTTCTGTGCTGCGAATGCTCATGCAACACCTAGCGCCACCTTACGAACTGAAACATAAAGATCGATGTTGCTGTCACCTAATAACACTTTTGGAAATCATCAGTTATATCCCATAATATATATATACATTACAGAGATAAAGAGAGACAGACATGCAGATAGAGAGGAAATGTATTTAAAAAAAAAGAATGAAAGTGAGATCAAAACACTGACCACACTCTTGTGCAAATGTTATCTTGTTTTGTTTAATGTACTTATATGGATATGTTCTAATTTGTGTGTAAAGTCAAAATGTATGAGAAAGATGTCTGAACAAACAAAAAACAAGTGTATGATCTGTGCGTAATATTAGAATGTGACAGACAGACAGATACGCGGGCAGGCAGACAGACAGGCAGGCAGACAGACAGGCAGACAGACAGACAGAACAAAGAATATAGACTATAGAAAAAATAAAAGAAAGATCAAAAGTCAGACAGACAAACAAACAAACAGACAGACGGACAGACAGACAGACAGACGGACAGACAAACGAAAAAGGACTGTATTTATACCAGTGGAAGTAATTGGGTAAAGGCAACTGCATTTATGCTTTTGAACACGTGACCGGAACAACATTCTTGTGTGACCTGTACTCCACAATCTCCCTGCCTTGCAACACACGTAGTCCACCGATCCCCAAGTTATCTGTGCCTGTCAGCACACTCTTAATTAGACACGTCTTACGGCATGCTTGTTAAAGGGCGGTAGGTCGATCACCTTCCGCACCGCCCCTCAGTAAGCCCCTTGTGCCACCCCACCGTTACCAAATGTATAAAGGGGCCGGAATTTTCATCGGTGGCTAAATCATCATCAACATCATCAGGTGCCTTGCCGACTGGCGTGTGCGACCACGCCTCTCCACAATCTGCGATCTCCTGCAGCATCTATCAGTTGGTGTGCCGACACACATAAATGCCATGCAACAAGACTGTCAAGCATCTTCACTCGTTGTCTTCCTCTATCCCTCCTTCCACAGATCTTTCCAGTGGTCACAACATGTTCTATTTTTCCTTTTCTCATAACTTTGCCGAAAAATGATGACTGTCTCCTTGTGATGAGCGCGGAAGCGCAGAAGAAGGACAAAGACACTTACGAAAGTTAAGCCTGACGTGAAAGTAAAGCAAAGGTCCATATTCCCCGCCTTCAGCTGTTTTGGGAATAGAGGGTAGAACTATATTTTATAGACAAATCGGCACTCAGTAGGTGATGTGGGCAACGACTCATTTGAGGCTGGGTCGACAGATGAGCCAAGGTATAACACACTAAAACAAAATGAAACAAAAAAAACTATGGCTCCGTCCGGATTTGAGCACAGGTCCTTCTGATCAGCAGGCGAGCGTCTGGCAGCTACAACACGGCGTCTTCTTTAGCCTGAAGTGGCTACCGGAAAATGTTAGTTCGGTCAGTGCCACATATAGATGTTTATTGACCACTTCAACCTTAATATGGACTTCAACACTGACAATATGCCTCTCCACAATCTAGGCTCTCCAATAGCGTTGATCAGTTCGTGTCTGGACACACACACACCTCTATGTCATGACAACATGCCTCTCCAGAATCTAGGCTCTCCAAGAGCGTTGATCAGTTCGTGTCTGGACACACACACACACCTCTATGTCATGACAACATGCCTCTCCAGAATCTAGGCTCTCCAATAGCGTTGATCAGTTCGTGTCTGGACACACACACACCTCTATGTCATGACAACATGCCTCTCCACAATCTAGGCTCTCCAAGAGCGTTGATCAGTTCGTGTCTGGACACACACACACCTCTATGTCATGACAACATGCCTCTCCACACTCTAGGCTCTCCAAGAGCGTTGATCAGTTCGTGTCTGGACACACACACACACACACCTCTATGTCATGACAATATGCCTCTCCACACTCTAGGCTCTCCAAGAGCGTTGATCAGTTCGTGTCTGGACACACACACACACACACCTCTATGTCATGACAACATGCCTCTCCACACTCTAGGCTCTCCAATAGCGTTGATCAGTTCGTGTCTGGACACACACACACACACACCTCTATGTCATGACAATATGCCTCTCCACAATCTAGGCTCTCCAATAGCGTTGATCAGTTCGTGTCTGGACACACACACACACACACCTCTATGTCATGACAATATGCCTCTCCACAATCTAGGCTCTCCAATAGCGTTGATCAGTTCGTGTCTGGACACACACACACCTCTATGTCATCACACAAGGCAGTCAAGAAACATCTCGCATTGTCCTCCTCTGTTTCTCTTTTCACAGATCTTTCCAGTGGCCAAAACATTTTCCTGTTTCCTCATTTCTCTTTCTGATGTTGGTGACTGATGTTCTTCCAGACCTTGCCTCTTGTAAAACATCTGTTTAGCTATTTTTGGCTGCCCAATGAAATTCTACGAATTTGTTTGGTGTAAAACGAAATATCCAAGGTTTGTGAAAGAATTGCCCAGGTCTTAGTCTAAGTCTTTGTCGAGGTTTCAAAATCACCGCAATCGGGTTTTCCCCATACGCGCCCCGTTACCCCCGTTACTGTGCCAGTGAAAATCAAATAAAATATCCCTCATTGTTGCAATTGAAAAAAAAAAGTGAACAAACAAATAGTCCCGAAACAATTCAGAGCTATGCGCACGCTGTAAATGCTTTTTTCAGTTGTTATAGACGCCAAAGCCAACAATGGCCACCAGAAATGCAGTTTGTCGATGGAAGTAGTCGGACACGATCAATTGGTTACTATACACGCGTATAATTATTACATAAGGTATTTCACCAGCTCACGCGTAAACCGGCTATCGGAACTATTGATCAACACACCATCCTGCTGCACAAATGAACGGCATTCCACAGGAAAAACACAGCTCATAAGGCTGCAACCAAGCACTAAACTCAGTAGCTCAGGCAGCGAAACCGTAGACCACCGGCCTCGTGTGAAAACTGCATTAGCAAAGCGCTGTCGGAAGCAAAAATAACTTCCAAGCTAAAAATTCTGCAATGCCTTTCCTCCATTTTGGCCACAAGTCCTAAACTGTTCAGGATTCACATCCAACATAACTCAAGAAGTCTTCATGTCTTCAGATATTTCCTGGTCTTCAGTTTTAACTGAGTCGACCTAGCATCCATAGTTCGAACTCGAGACATTCGTTCGGTAAGCAAGGATCTAGTACTGACAGAACACGGGATTCACTAAAGAGAATGAACACGAATTCATTCCTCAGTGCCAGCCTAATATACGAGCACACACTGAACCTCTCTACAGCACAAGTCATCTCAGAAATATTAATGGATTTACAAAGTCCAACATCCATGGTCGGTACATTTGGCTGCATTTTCAGTCCGCCATTAAAAAGAAAAAAAATCTGGCTGCACAACACGCTATTATCAGTGGTTCCCAACATTTTGTCCCCGTGTACCCCCCCCCCACCCCACCCCCCGCCCCCCAACACGTTAGAATAATTTATCACCAGTTTCCTTTCCAAACATTAGTCTCTTTCTAAATATCACTAACGTGGGGGCTTCGTGATCTCGAGGCATGGTGTCCGACTCGAGTGCTAGAGGTTCCGGGTTCAATCCCTGGTAAGGGCTGGGATTTTTCATGTGGACTTGGACTTCTAGTAATTCCCCCTGGTCTCTGGGTAGTGAGATCAGACGCCCGTGTGTATTGTTGCGCACGTAAAAAAATCCTTTGTCAGCTGGAAATCAAAAAGAGTAGCCTAGCGGCTCTTCCCAGGCAAAATTTAGAGTTAAAAATCTACCTAAAGTATTTCAGGATCCTCGCCGGTGCTTCAGATCCTGTGCTCTGTGCTGAGCTTCTTCAGACAGACTTGAATTAGAAGAAGAACGGAGCACTTTTGGGTTACTACACGTGTGCAATGATGGTGATCCATTGTTCAAACCTCAAACCTCAAATCGTGTATAGCGGAAACTAGATTTACTAGGGGATTCATATTTTCTAAATTATATTGGCCCCTTG